TACTGTAAATATTTACTGTACTTAGGCCTACTCCCTATCATTATTGGATTGTCATCTATTTTATAACCCCATTTCCCAGGATGCCACACACAGTGCAGATGTGTCTCTATAAACCAGTGAGAAAAGTTTCTCACAATCATTCAAGCGCTGAAACTTCCAGTTTGGTTAAACAAGACATCGTTGAGCTGCTTATGGAAGGTTATGTTTATATTTGAACATATAGTGACAGGCCAAAATGAGACTATATTTGTGTTGACCGAATGAAGTGCAGAGCTTTGCACACAGCAAAGCAAGCAATTTCGCGGTTGTTTGGAGGCGCGTCACGTGGGAAGCGGAAGAGCGACCTCTTGCGGTATAAATCTGGAATGACAATAATTCCTGCGGTACGGCACCTTGTGAATTCATCCTGTCTAATGCAGAAATATACACAATAATATCTCAGTTTTGGTATCTGTGCTTCTTTGGAGATACTAAAGAGTGTGTTTAGTGCAGAGAAGAAGAAATGCCCGCAGAACAGGTAGAGCACTTAACGTTTTTTGGCTTGAGGTTGTTGTCGTTTTCAGGGCAGAGTAAAAAACTGGACTGAAGCAAGTACGTTTTAGGTGAAGACAATGCAATGTTTGTTCTTACCAGCTGCAAAAATACTACATTTCATTCAACAATGTTTTTTTGACTACATTATAAATCTATAGGCTAGCATATCCACAACTATGCCACAATTTATTCATTTATTTTAGGATGTATTTATTTGCCTGGCTCTGATAATGGCCATCCTTTTCAGTTTATAAAAAATGTAGCATGATTTCACACTTCCATCATGTAGTTTAGGAATTGTAGTAAAATGACTATTATTAGCATTTTTTTTTTTTTTTAAAGAGAATGCCTTTTTTTTCTCGTGCTGGGCAACGATTAATCGTGATTAATGGCATCCAAAATAAAAGTTTTTGTGGACATAATAATATGTGCGTGTACTGTGTATATTTATTATGTATATATAAATACACACACACATGCATGAATATATTTAAGAAAAAAAATGTGTTATAGGCTATATAAATAATAAATATACACAGCACACACACATATATTATATAAACAAAAACTTTTATTTTGGATGCCATTAATCGCGATTGTTGCCCAGCACTAAATTATGAAGGAATTTGTTTAATTGGATATTTATTTGTTTACTAGTTCATTTGATCTATAACAAATTTTTACTATGATCACTTAGGTAATTTTTATTTATATATTTACATAAACTCAGACAGCCTTTGCAGAATAACCAGTATTTTAACAAATAGTCAAATATTTGCAGCTTGATGGTGGTTTTCCATATGTATAGGTGTAAATGGTGTCTGTTGTTTTGAATGGCACCGACTGTCTGAACCATTCACATGTTTGTTTATGAATACTTTTGCTCATTCACTAATGGAACAGCTTTGTGAAGGAGGGTATTAGCTCCCTTTGTTCATGTAATTGCTCAGAATTGGGGTCAACACCAGAAGTGGCAATACACTTCAATTCATGTCACACATACTGTGCACTGTATGGAGAGACTTGAGCAAATGGTCCCTGCTGGAGAATAACAACTGTTTTCTCAAGGGAAAGGGACCCCTGTAAAACAACTCCCTGAGAATCCACTAACAAGGGAAGGAGGATGTGGTGCAGAATAATTGAGTTTTATATCACTGCAGAGTGTGAGCTAATTTTTGTGTTTTTCAGTGCTACTGTAATAAAACCTAGAAACTAGCCTGAGAAAAGCAACAATAAAAAATCTGTATACCATAGCAAATACAGCCAGCATAACAAGCTGCAACAACATTAAAATGGTAACTGGATTTGATGTACACTACCATTCAAAAGTTTGGGGTCTGTACGATTTTTTTTTTTAAAAGAAATTAATACTTTCATTCAGAAAGGATGCATTTAACTGATCAAAAGTAACAGTAGAAACATGGTTACAAAAGATTTCTATTTCAAATAAATGTTGTTCTTTTAGACTTTCTGTTCATCAAAGAATCCTTAAAACAATGCATCACAGTTTCCAACAAAAACATTCAGCAGCACAGCTGTTTTCAATATTGATAATAAGAAATGTTTCTTGAGCATATTAGAATGATTTCTGAAGAATCATGAAACTGAAGACTGGAGTAATTGCTAATTCATAAGAAAAAAAATCTTAAAAATTAAAATAAAAAAAAAACAGTTGTTTTAAATTGTAATAATATTTCAAACTTTACTGTTTTACAGTATTTTTGATGAAATAAATGTAGCATAAGCATAAGGGACTTTTTAATTTACCAACCCCAAAATTTTGAATGGTGGTATATGTGGAAAAAATGATATATTATATATGAATTATATTTGTTATAATAATTCATAGTTATTATTTATACAAACAACATTTTATATAAAGCAATGTTGCTTACTGTCAAATTAAGCCTGAAAAAATAAAATAATAAAATAAAAGTTATACTTCAGTGTGAGAACCTTACACTGATGTATAGTATGTTTTGATGTATTATAAGGAAATTGTGGTCTATCATATTCCCAAACAGAAAATAAGTATTAAACGTACATTTTTCAAGAGTGTGCTTTCCCCTCTATTAATTCTTTTTAGTTTTCGTTAGAATTTTTGTAATTTTTTTCCTTCATTGCAGAGCTTGTTCAGAAGAGGAGGGGAAAGACATAGGAATTATAGACTGCAGTTCCACTGTAAAGCTCTGGGGTAAAATAGCTCTCTTAAAGTCACATCTCAGATTGCATTGTGTGCCTGAAGGTGTCTGCTGCTGCCCACACCTCCATTTTGTGCTAATGTGGGTGTAACCGATTCACCACTCAAGTAAAGCATGTGAGCAATGCTTTGTTTATTGATTGGGTCTTTCTCTCTATGTGAGGTCCAATTTCATTATCAAACAGAAATGGCCATAGCAATTATGCTTAAGAACCTGTACAAGTGACAAAATGAATATGAAATGGTTGAAAATTAAAATGCATATATCTCTTAGAGTCATACAAACACAAAGGCAGTGAATGTGTTGTTAATGTATTGTGTTGCATTGGTTGGAGCCTGTAAACATTACGTTCCTCCATTTGAATGTCAGTCCATTTCCTGATAAATTACTTCACAGGGGAGACGGGGGCTACATGTCACACAGACTTATTTCAGTACCATTTGAGTCAAATGGCCAGTTATTTACACAATGTTTTTGCATATTGATTTCAAATGCTTAGTTCAAAATGGTGTAAAATATTTTTTATGAATTCTATTTCATTATGTTTCATAATAGCTCTAAATACAATAAAACACTGACATACAAGAGTCAAGTATATAAGAAGTATATATGACAATAAATTTGATTCGAAGGCTTGAACTGTGTGCTCAGGACAAGGATATTTTTTTGTAAATGTCAGCTCACACATTTTGTAATTTCATTATAAGTTGCTACTTTTTTGTATATTATAATGTTGCTGTTTTGTTAAATGTTTAGTTCATAACTGTAACTGAAACAGAAGTAGCAACAGATCTTTTAGATCTGTACAGATCTGTAGCAGATAATCAAAAAAGTAAAAAAAAAAAAAGAAAAAAAGAAAAATGTATGGCTGAGACTTGGTTCCGTCCGTCAGATTGAATGGAGGCAGATCTGAGTGCCAGCCTGCAGTTAATTGTAAGAAAGGGGTGGGTTTAAGCGGACTAAATGATTGGAGAAATCCAGCATATGTCACCAGAGAAGATTAAGTTTATGTTATGACATTTATGCTATGACATGACATTATACGTTTTTTTAGTAAGATCTATAATATGCATTTTATAAATGGGTACATTTTCATTTCATGCTGACTTTAAGGTATGTGACTATACAGAAAAGGGGTATATGTCAGGCGTCACCTGACCAAACTGGAAAACAGGTCCAATTGCATCCGCTTGTCAGAGAAAGTGTTAACAGAATTTATTTGCTGCCCTTTTATTAAATTTCAATATCCGAATGTTAGTGAGGAACACAAAAATAAAAAATAAAACGTTTAGATATAAATCTGCATATGCAATGGACATCAGTTATGATCATCTTTAGGTATCTCCTTTGAGTAAAAAAAGCTTCATATTTAACAAAGCACATACAAAAGACCTGAACTGGAAGCGACATGACCTGTTTTACAGAATAAAAAAGTTTGGTGTGTATAACCCCTATTGAATTTCAAAGAGACATTTTCACTGGAGCAAAAAGTGTGACAGCCAGTGACGGTCCTCCTATTAACAGCAACATCAAGAACATATAGATTCCCTGTCCAGGGTTCTGAAAACACAGACAGGAAGGAGTCTTTCCACAGTCGCTGACCAGAGTACTGAAAACCCACCCTCGCTTTTCATAGACGATGTATTTAAATACATTATATTCTATTCCCAAGTGTCCCTTAAAATAAATTCCAAGGTGCAAAAAGTGCCCTTTAATTATTAAATAACCATTCATTTCTAACACTGCTCCAACATCACTATGAACTAAATTATTTTGCATAAGTTATTATTTCTAATATAATACACTCCTATAATTAATTGTCATTTATCTGAGACTTTTCTTTAAAGACCCTTACAGCATCCCTATAATGTACAAGGACAGTCCCGAAGGTACAACCTGGGTTTAGGTGTGTTGCTCAAGGGCACCATGGTGACCGTTCAAGGATCGCCACCTGCAGAGTCTACACCTACAACCTTTTAGTTACAAGCTCTTCAATCACTAGGCAGCACCACCCACTGTCAGTGATGTTCAATCGATGTCTCTCGCTTCCTTAAAATGAACACAAGCACATGTCAAATTCGTCTCTCCTCTCCATTCATCATTTTACGCATCTAAACAACACATCCCGGACCTGTCCCGTGCGTAAAGAACGTGCGCAACGGGAAAAACTGATGATGGGTCAGAAAAAATGACGAGGGAAAACACTGCGCGGATTACTAGGATTGGATGGCACGAGTGATGCAGTCCCTGCATCCTCCGAAGCCCCAACCGGATCGCGGAGAATCTGGCCGGAGATTTTGCCTCACCGAGTTTCATTTATGACAATTACTACCTTTACCGAGCGAGCACACTTTTAACAAGTGCCTCTTCGTTACGAGTGTTTTTCTCCACGCCCGTGGAATAGGACCTAAAAACATCTTCAACATCAATGCAAGGAGCATGAAATCTTAACGCCAATTGTTGAACGAGTGATGTAAGTCAATCAATTACGCTAATTACGAGCATTTATTTATGCATATTTAATCGTGATTTTATTAAAGCGTTGATTTGGTTTCTTTCATTTGTTGCAGTGCAGCTTTGCATGTTGTGAAGCACGACCTTCGAGGTGCACCCTGGAGAATTGCGTATCGACTCATTTTCGCGTCTCGTTTTAAACTGAAACGCTCGGTTGCATCCTAGATATCAGATACTTGATCGGTTTTCCATTAGTCTTGGATTTTTTATTTTTTTGCTGTGCAGAACCTACAGGGAAATAATTTACCGTCGCATCCCTTTTCATCTTCACTATGAATTACCTGCGACGTCGACTATCGGACAGTAATTTCATGTCCAACTTGCCCAATGGCTACATGAGCGATTTACAGCGGCCCGATCCGCCGCAGCAGAGCCCAGCCCCGGTGCTCTCGCCGGGCTCTCAAGAGATGCGTCAACCCCCCAGCCAGTCTACCGGCGCCGGCTTCTTTTCCTCCATTTCCAACGCCGTCAAACAGACCACCGCCGCCGCCGCCGCTACCTTTAACGAGGCCACCGAGAGAGGAATCGGCTCGAGCAACGCCAGGATCCTCCTGGTCATCGATGACCAGCAGACAGACTGGTAAGACGCATATGATCCTATGCATTTTGAATGTATGACTTGGACTTTATTAATAGATTATTCGAGTGTTTGTTTCACGTCTCAGGCTCGCACCTGAGGTGTAGCTCGTGCTAATACAGAGCAAAAAGAGTCACTATCCAAATGTCGTGACTCATTAGTCTATGGGCCTTTCTGGCACGCGCGCCCGTGTAGTTGTGGGTGTGCCCGCGCGTGTGTTTGTGCGCATTTCACAATTCAGTCTGGGCCAGTTAATGGAGAAGACCCTACGGCAAAGTATATTACATTAGCTTTTCAGTTCAGATTAAAAGGTTCTGCGTTGATGGATTTAAGAGTAGACCGGCTGTGCGTGGGGGAAAAATAGTGTTAACACAAAGTCTTTGAAAAAGACAAGGTAATTGAGACACTTTTGGAGTTTTCATAGGTGAAACTCTCTGGAGAACTTATAGGAACCGCTTTCAGGATGGCTCAGATGTCCTGTTGTTTAATGTATACTCAAGGAATTATATGTTTTTTGAGAAATATATTTCAAGAGCAAGCCTTTCCTTTATAATGGGACTGACAGTGTAGAGTACTTATGGGTTCCTAAGAGGACTGTCCTTTTTGCAAGGATGTCTGGAGGTTCTCCAGTAGTTTCCTCTGGTATGGTGATCTGAGGAACCCCATATGGTGCCTCAAGTATCTTTACAATTTTAAAGTGTGTGATGTTGCTCTCACTGATTCCCATGAGGGCTTGTGACACATTTAAACCAAATGTGGTTTAAAACCAAAACACCACCAACAAAGTTAATTTCATATGCATTTTTTAAACTTTTCAGTGGAGGCAACATTCCATCCATCCATCTAATTATTTTATTTAGTGACTAAGTGTAAAAACAATGGATTTAAAGTTAAGTGTAATAGTAGCATATAAATATTAGAATTTTATTATTAAGTTTGCTGCATGAAATCTAGTTACAGACACTGAAACAAAACTCCTCAGCCTTGAAACTCCTCCTTGTGTGCGTCCCTTACACAAACAATTCATGCTTGATGAATACTTGAAATACATTATTTTCACACCATTTCACTGTTGCATAATCTAGTTTGGACACAGTTTAAGTGTTTTTTTTTTTAAACTATGACTCACAAGTGCAAAAATGTTCTTTCTTTTTCATTTTTATTTCTTCAGGGCAAAGGTGTTCAAAGGCAAGAAAGTTCATGGTGAATTTGACATCAAAGTAGAACAGGTGAGACTTTTTTTAATTCTTCCAAACTAACAGAGCAGTACAACTCAACAATGTGCCAGTGTAATGAATTAGATGTTAGACTTACCAAAACACATCAACTGGCTAGAGGTTATTGTTATTACTCTGAGTTGCAATTGCAATATTGAGCCTGTCATTTCTTCAGTGGTATTTGTTTGTGTTTGTGAAAAGGGATGGGGCAATATATCAAAGTAGTCTCTAGTAATGAAATGCAAGATCTAATCTATTATAGACAGGGATAAAAGAAAATTAATCTGTTGTGTCAATGAATAATATCCTTTCAAATAATTAGTCATGGATGAGACAGATTTGTTGGCAGCTTTACAATAAGCCAAAAGTAATTTCGACCAGAAGAAACATTTTGTTTTTGAACAACTGATTTTTTTTGTTTGGTTAGAGTTTTATATGTAATACTAGTAATTAGTACACAATAATCTAGGGATTTATGTAAGAATTTGGCAACATTCTGGAATACCAGGCAGTCACAAGGATTCAATACGCCTTTTGACAATTCCACTTTTGTGATTTTAACTTTTTAATGACATGTCAGTCAAAAACCCTGTCTTTAAAAGGAAATATGGATGGTATGCTTTAAAAAGCAGTTTTTATAGTTTTAACATAACCACACTGGCAACCCATCACAGTGTTTTAGTATAAATGCTTTGACAACGCCACTTTACTTATCACATGCATTGATCCTTTCATTCCATCTGGTGATTTTCATTGATTTTCAAGGCTGACTTCTCTGAGGTTAATCTGGTGGCTCACGCAACGGGAAGCTACAGCGTGGACATTGAGGCCATCCGCAATGGCAACAAAATCACAAAGTAGGTTTCACACCTGTTTTAGAAATCTTCAAGAATGTTTTTCTTTTGCACAGAGAAAACATGTAATTCAGTGGTCTTACTTTGTTGATTAATTCAGCAAACAATTAATGTATATTAGGAATATTTAGAGCAGCAATCAAGATGATTTATTTGAAGATCATATATGTATTGCATATACTTCTGTGTATATATACTGTACAAATAGATAGATTTGCTTTGATTAATCACAGTATAATTACTTATAATGATTACTAACATTTCTGTGATAATTTAGGTGTTTCAAGCCAGATTTTGTGCTGGTGCGACAGCATGCTTTTAGTATGGCCAAGAATGGCGACCACAGAAACATTGTGATTGGACTTCAGTATGCTGGTCTGCCCAGTGTCAATTCCCTTCACTCAGTCTACAACTTCTGTGACAAACCATGGATGGTGAGCACTGCATACATCAATCCATACCGATCAGCTAATTAGGGATGTTCTTAATGTATCCAATTGGATTTAATAATGTATTTTAAATATGTTTCCATTCATTAAAAAAATACACATTTTCATATTCCCAAAGTAAAGGAGAGTAGTGTTTTCCAAATCAAGGAAATGAATCAAATTGGTAACACTTTACTTAAAGCCTTAAAGCATTATAAAGGTATGCATTATATATATATTATAATGACATATTTCATAAATAATTGTAACCAAAGTTAAAATGCATTATACTATTTGAAGGTTTGATTGTCTTTTGTTTTAATGCATTATACTTTCTAAAAGGGTAACAATGAATAAATAAGTATTATGATGTATTATAATTGTGGTTACAATTATTCACGAGATAATGCAATTATAAATACATCATAAGGTGCATTACAAGGCATAATTAAAGCATTAAAGCTACTTTTTATAATGCATTATATATAAAGGATTTGTGTTACCATAAAATCTTATAAAATGTCTGTATTACTATGTTCAATTTACAAGCTCTAGTCTAAAAAAAGGTTAAAGCTTTATGTTAAACTTGTATAGTGAGAAATATATTTTTTAGTCAATTCTTTTCAATGAATTACGTCAAGCTGCTTCACAAATCAGACTAAATAATTCATTTGTCAAACATCAAAATGAATCAAAATGATTTTAAACAATCAATCAAAATGTTTTTTTAACAACTGAAAAGGTAATGAAAAAAAATGATTGGTCGAAAGTGTAGGAACCCTGTTTCCATGTTTCCAGTTAGAAAAGAGAAGAAAAGAGAAGAGCATTATCAAAAGGGCTTTCATACAATTTTACCATTAAATGTCTGTAACTATTGCTGCATAAAAGATGTCTCTATGTTTGTGTATATATGTATGTCTGTGTGCGGGTTGCCGTGCATCTATCAGTTCGCTCAGTTGTCCAGATTGTACAAGCAGTTGGGTCCAGAGGAGTTCCCACTGATCGACCAGGTTTATTACCCCAACCACAAGGAGATGGTGAGTGTTTAACCATCTGTCCCTGTCCCTCCTCACCAGTAAACCCTGAGCTATAGGTGTCTAGACGGTTCCACTGGACCCCGCACAAAGCTCCCATCTGTGGCAGGGACAGCGGTGCCTGGATGCAGTAAACCGTAAAACATAAAAGACCCAGTTCAGCACTGCTCCACTCAACCTAGCAGCCTAACTCCAGACTAGTATAATTGTTTGGTACAGCACAGTTCTTATAGACATAGTTCAGGTTTTAATAGGAGAGGGGAGGCTTGCTGCAGTGCCACCTCCTCCTCCTATTCCTCCACTGCAGGCATCTTCACACATAAATGATCCCAGACACACTCTTTGCCAGAATGCTTTCCTCTCTCACTGGCCTTTTTTTAAGATAAAGCACAGCATACTCAGGCGGAATTCTGTGGGCTTATTTTGTCCCTGAGCAGAAAGATTTTGCTCTCGCATTTCAATTACTGCAGCAATATAAAGAAGATGCCTATCAAGCACCACTGAGACTGCAACATGTTCTCCTATTAATAACCAATTAAAAGAAAAGCAACTTGTTGTTGGTGTCATTTTCTGTTAAATCATTCATTCAGATTAGAAAAATATCATGCCAATATTGCGTATTAACATTTGCAATAAAAACATGGTTGAGTAATGGCATGTATAGAATTCTATATTTATATCTACACACACACACACACACACACACACACACAAACACATGCTACTGTTCAGACGTTTGGGTTTGGTTTGAAGGAATTAATTTATTTGATTTAAAAATACAGTAAAAATAGTAAAATAGTACAATTTTATTACAATTTAAAATAACTGTTTTCTATTTTAATATATTTTAAAATGTAATTTATTCTTGTGACGCAAAGCTAAATTTTCAGCAGCCATTACTCTAGTCTTTAGTGTCACATGACCCTTCAGAAATCATTGTAATATGCTGAGAAACATTTCTTAATATTATGAAAACAGTTGTGTGGCTTAATATTTTTGTGAAAACTGTGAAACTTTCAGGATCCTTTGATGAATCGTACATTCAAAACAACAGCATTTATTTTAAATAGAAATGTAACGTTACAAGTGTTATATTATTTTCTTTAAAAAATCTTAATATATCTCTTTTGTCATTAGATCACCACACCTGGCTTTCCTGTGGTAGTGAAGATGGGTCATGCTCACTCTGGTATGGGAAAGGTATGATTGAAACCCTTTCTTAGACATTCCTGTAAAAAGTAAAAAGTCCAAACTAGCCTATATATATTAGTGTATGAATTGTTTGGTCTTTTTGTGATTACATCTATATCAGTGCAATTAAAATTCTCTGTACAGGTCAAAGTGGACAATCAATATGATTTCCAAGACATTGCTAGTGTTGTAGCTTTGACAAAGACGTATGCCACATCTGAGCCTTTTATTGACGCCAAGTATGACATCCGAATCCAGAAAATCGGTGACAATTACAAGGCCTACATGTAAGAGACTAAAACCATAGCAGTGTTTTCATGTCAATACGACATGATGGAATCTATGCCTTTAACAATATCACTGGAACTGATTGTAAAACACTGTGTAATACCTGCTGTTGTATTATTGGACAGGAGGACATCTATATCAGGCAACTGGAAGACCAACACTGGATCAGCCATGTTAGAGCAGGTGGCCATGTCTGACAGGTACACACATCTTACCGGATGTTCCTTCTTCCACGACACAAGGCATATTATACATCTCCTATAACATGGCAGCAGATAACCTTATTAGATGTTTGGTCATCTAAAAATGACATATTTTGCATAATTCAACATGTTATGTATTATGCATATCACATGCTAATAGCTCTTTTCCAAAACCTCGTGAGCTGCCTTAGTAGATAGCACTATAGGACATGCCACTCTTCCTGTAAAATACCTCATTTAATTCAAATTCTTAGACAGCATCACTTTTCTTATTCAAGATGTTGGACGAAGCAAGAGAAATGTTGAATATAATAATAATATACTTGTTAATTAATTAGTAATTCATTCAATGCTGAAAATTGCATTGTATTTACTGAAATAATTTGTATGTTGAGGTTTCTGGTTTCACATGATTTGCTGCCTATGTAAAGTATGTCAAATTAGCCATTTATTACATTCAATTTTAGTTAGAATGCAGAAAAGAAAAAAAAAAAAGCTCCTCGTTTGCTTCTTGCTACATAATTTGGCCAAAACATTTGTGATTTTAAATATGACTATTTTATTATTAAGTATGACTTACATACATTTAATTAATTGAGCCATATCACAATTGTGGTTTTATTTCAATAAATTGTGCAGCCCTAATTATCATAGTAATGTAAAAGTCATTTACAGATAAAAAAAAAAAACGATATTATTGATGATGGAACTGTTTTTCAGGAAAAGCCTACACTGAACAAGTACCACATATTTTTCTTGAAACTGATTTATTTTTAAACAAAAAACAGAGTTTAGTTTGCTAGAGGATTTTCAATCAAAGCAGTCGATGATACTAAGCCAAATATTAAGTCTTGCTCTACAGTAATCCTGATTCCCTTGTTTACTCTGGGCAACAGTGTGGGTGGATGCTTTTAGTGGAATGCACAAGGTCATCATTTGCGATTTCCCTGCAGGTATCGTATGTGGGTGGATGTATGCTCTGAGGTTTTCGGAGGTCTTGATATATGCGCTATAGAGGCATTGCATGGTAAAGACGGTCGAGATTACATCATAGAGGTAACAATATCTGCAAAAACAATCAGTTTTTAAAATAGCTCTATGAAATATCCTTAATGCCCTGGGCAAACACTCTGTGTGTGTGTGTCTATTAGGTCGTGGGCTGCTCAATGCCTCTCATAGGAGACCAGCAGGATGAGGACCGGGCTCTAATAGCTGATCTTGTTGTGGCTAAAATGAACCAGACTGTGGCACGCACTTCAGCTCCCACTCCAGTCCGTTCTCAGGTTAACACACTCGCTTCAAAACATCCTCATATATTCTCAACCTAGACTTGAAAACAAGAACGTGTCTGTGGTGATATTTCTGCAAAATGATATTGCGTTGCTTCTTATATGCTTTGTTTCAGAGTGAAATGTGAGTGGCTCTAAAAGCATGTCCAGTATTATCTGCAACAGATGAACGTGAATCAGACAACGTTTTGTTACAATGTTGTTGTACGAAATGCAGCATTTTAGAAATGAAATGCCAGATAACAAAATAACTAAACAAACGTGAGATAAATAATGCATTTGCTGAAACAGCCATGCAATTTTAGCTTGCTTCTACAAGTCTCTGAGCTCTTTTATTGTAACTCGTGTGTCACGGGAGCAAATGCAATGCTGTACCAGGTGAGCTGCTGAGCAAGTTTACTACATCAGAAAATCCATGCATATGGAGCTGGTTATGTGATGCAAATGCCAAGATGTATTCATGTACAAATCATGCACTATAGCAAAAGTGTTTTTCTGCAAGGAACAGTGCAAAAATAAGTATTTATGAATCAATAATCTGCCCCTGTAATCATCATTTGTGTGAAAAATAATCAAAGTTGTATATTCTCATGTGAGATGTTAAAAAAGCTTTGCTCCATGCAAAATCAAAGATCAAATTTGAATGAGCAGTTCGGTTGGCCACTCAAAATATTGCTACTGCTTGATAGCATATCTGATCTAAAAGCATGCATATAAAAACTGTAATTTCTGATTATGCAACATTAAGCAGTGCAAAGCTGCTGAGTAATACAATAAAATGGTGTAGTTTCCTCCCACCAGTCAGTATTTATTGTCAACTTGTTCAGCAGAAATATGCAAAACTTGTAGTCACAGCATGAGTCTGAGATCCTTTTTGATTGCAGTGCCGAGACTGCTATCCTCCATTATTCCCAAAGCTGTGATTGTAATGATTCATAGCCCCACAGATGGGAGAGAATGAGAGAGTGAGAAATGCCTTTAATGCATAAGCTAAAGACTCAGACATCATCTCTCATCACCTCTGCATCAAATCGCTTGGTTTAATTCCCTCCACATTTGTGCTAAACTGATTGCCTGAAGATTAATGACTGCACTTTTGTTGGCATCAGCCATTTATTTATGTTTCTATAGTGATGCTCAGCACTTTTTGAGGTTACAGGCGTTTGGAAGTTTCTTTTAATGAAAGTGACAAAAAAGTGACCCAAAAAAAGTGACTAGTGTTTCTAAAAATACTAAAACTTGCACTGAAATTTGTATGTGCCAGCATTCTGTTTCTGTGTGGTTTGGTTTCTGATATCCTCTGTCTTCCTATGTTTGTTTTGTATTTTAGGTCCCAGCTGTTTCACCTCAACCCATTTCTCAGTCTAGAGTCCCCCAGGCACAACAGCGCCCTCCTCCACAGGGTAAGGGATTACACTGCAATAATAAGCCAACCTTTTAGGCATAATTCAATAATGCAAATTAATTCATGATTAACTCACCTTCACATTTTGTATGACTTTCTTGCTTGTGTTGAACACATAATGAGATATTCTGAAGAATCCTTAAGCTGTGATTTTACATACTATGAAAGTAAACAGTGATTTTTACTGCCAAACTCCTAAATAGTCATTTTGTACCACAAAAGGGCACCATGAAGATAGTACATACAACTTATCAGAAATCTTATGAAACCATACAATAGTTTTATTGGGGAATAAGCTACATAAATATTCATCATTATTACTCAAGATCTTTCTCCACCCCATAGCTCTCAAATATGCCATATGAAGATAAACTGCAACAGGTTTGACATAATTGATGCCAGATATTATTGGTTGCTGCTAATCTGAGTAGGAAACATTTTTAGTGAATAACATGTTAAGTTTTGGTCTGTTTATCACACAAGCCTTGAACAATATCTTGAAATATAGCTTCTGGGTGGCTTAAAGTAATTTTTAAAACGATTTAGGGCCTGTTCAACTGACATCATCAAAGAAGGAATGGCATTCCAGAATTGTTTGATTTTGACAAAAGATTACGAAAACAAACTTTCACAGGTTAATTGCTCATCACAAGACTAGTAATGTGCTCTAACAAAGTGAATATTTTCTTTGTTTATTCAGACTTTAGTTAATCCTATTTTTGTATTACATGCCAACACCAAAATACTCCAGCTGCTCAATATCCATCTTCACTGCCGATTCCAGATTCTTCCTCTGTTTTTCATGGTTGCTTAGCAAGATACAAGATAAGATGTTTGTGAGCACCACAAAGTCATTTTACAGCAACATCTCTCTAGGCATGACCAATAGCGCAAATCTTACTGTTTGGCCAATTTTCTTTGCGGTGCGATGGAAAAGAGAGTCGAATACTTCTCTGTAATAAAATAAAAAAATTATCATGATGGCACACAAGTGTTTGTGTTGCTCTGAACTGATATCTTAACAGCTGTTGATTCAAATTAAAATGTTTTCTCGCACCAAATTTTCATAACAAGCTTCCATCTTGATGTGAATGGGCGTGAATGGGCCTTTATGGTAAAAATCACAAATTACTATTACTGTATGCAAAATAGAGACTTTAGACATTCAGCAAACAGAAAAAGGAAGTCATACAGGTTTGGAATGACATGAGCGTGAGTAAATTAAGACAGATATTTCTAAAAACCAATAGATCTCTGGATAACTGTATAAAAGGGTTAATAGTTTGTGTTTAATAGTTTGTGCTTATATGCTTATATTACAACTTGTTTACACAGTAAAGATAAGCTCTGTTTTTAGGAGGTCCACAACAAGCAGCTGCTAGCACTACTGCTGCCCGTCAAGGAGCCCCACCACAACAGCGTCCCTCTCCCCAGGGCCAGCCCCCTGCCCAAACCCAGTCTGTGACCAGTCCTAATGCCCAGAACCCCCCTGCCCAACAAACCCGGCCCAATCATCCCCCACAGCGACAAGCCAGTCAAGGGGCCGCAGGTCAGCAGAGGCCCCCCACAGCACAGGGTCCCGCCCAGCGTGGCCCGGGTGGCTCTCCTCAGTCACCGAGGCCCCAGCAAGGTGGTCCGCAACAGCAGCCACAGAGGCCTCAAACTGGTGGCCAGGGTCCCAAACCAGCTGGCCAGCCTCAGCAGAGGCCTCAACAGCCAAGACAAGGCCAGCCAACCAGGCAGCCCACCCAGGGTGGGTCACAGCTGAGCCAGGACGCCCCTCAACCAGCCCCGCAACAGCAGGGCAGTCCCCGCCCTCCTACCACTCAGCAACCACGGCCTACGGCACAGGGCCAGGGAGGTCCAGGAGGTGCACGACCTCCCCTGCAGCAGAAACCCACACCTCCACAGAAACCAAGTCCTGATCACCCGGCTCTGAGTGGATCGCCGCAGCTTAAGTAAGATGTTTTTTGTCCTCTGTCATGTCATATTTGTATGTTTAGTTGACTGGATGTGAAGGTTTTTATGATTCATTAGCATCTGGGCTTGTTTTTCCATTTATTGATGATGTTTCATTACCCATGCAAATGACTACATCAGATAGATGGTGGCCATTCTCCTCTGCTACATTGTAAAATTCTAAAATCGCATGACAAGTTGATGGTGCTGATTGACAGTGACTGTGTGAATTAGGGTAAACCTATTGGGGTAAATGCAGTATAGGTTATAAACACAGACCTCCCGGTTTGATTTTGATTCACAAGCTCTGAATTTGATTGGGGGGGATGTATTTTAAAATGTTAATTTACTATGCATTTAAATGTCTTAGTTAGAACACAGTGACAGCTGCAGGATGGGAAGCACTGTATGAGTAGATTTCAACATGGTATTGGGATAGTTCAAATGAAGTGTGATTAATCAGAAAACCTATGTTTTACACAGTGATGTCATGGTAATGCTATTTTTTATATAAGAGACTGGATGGCTAATTACTGGTCTGATTGACCAGCTAATTACTGGTCTGATTGGTCATTTCTTGACTTGTCAGCCAATTACAATGCCATTATACCCTGTGTTGTTCTTACTAATTCACACAGCCATCACAATATCTTCCTTTTTCAAAATAGGAATTGTGCAAGCTCCAAAAATTGGATAATGCCTAATGGAAAATTGCCTGAAATCATATGTATTTATCTTTATTGAGCTATTAAAGAGCTAAATAGTTATAAACAGATTTTGATAATGGTGATGATCTATGCATCAGATGAGCATGAAATTAATGGATAAACACGTCCAAAAGCTCCTGAACAGATTCTGCAAAGCATACTATGACGACTTTAATGACTTTAAATAGTTATAAACAGATTTTGATAATGGTGATGATAATAATGACATTTGACAATAATGGTGATAATGATAAATGTGGCTTATACATATAGGCAGACGCCTAATTAAAACAATGGAGATACAGAATGCACACTAGATGATCTGGTATTTTGCATGCCAAAGATGGCTTCCTTCAGTCTTACACCCAAACCATTCATGCACTTGATTGTGGAAATTGCATTTTTCTGAATGGAAATGTGCATTTGATCTATTTTCACTGTTAAGCGATTGTCAGCAAGTATGAATGTGATCATCTTATTCCCACTATTCCTCAATTAAGTTCTAAGGTGACTAATAAAACATAAAACTGATTCTTCCAAAAAAAAAACAAAAAAACATACCATTTATTTATGTTCCAGAGATGTGCCTTTGCACTTGGTTCTTTATTTAGGAATAGTGGCCCAGAATAAACAATGACGCAGAGTAAAGTGCATGTCTCTACATCCAGAGATGCCATTTCTCATAAGTCCAAAGGCTGATGTAAACATTGCACTTGAGTCATGATTGCTTAAATGAATGACACAAAAGAAAGCATTTGAATTTCATTCTCTCTCTCTCTCTCTCTCTCTCTCTCTCTCTCACAGCTTATTTATTTTTCTCTGCCATACCTTTATAAAGCCATCTCCATGGGTTTGCTGCATGACTTTAATAGCCTCTTCCTCTCCTTTATTGCCACTTCTTCTCTTTGTAGCAAATCCCAGTCTCTTACCAATACATTCAACATTCCAGAAACGCCGGCCGCCCAGCACCAAAGTCCTAGTCAGGACGAAGCCAAGGCTGAGACCATCCGCAACCTTCGGAAATCCTTTGCAAGCCTCTTCTCCGTGGAATAAACACACACACACACACACACACAGACAGAGAGGTTATGGAGTCTCTAAAAAAACATGCAAACACAGACACTCGTCAATTATACACAGAAAGGACCAATTATATCACACATTGCAGTGCACATCAGATCTGTGCACATCAATTCGCAATGCGACATTAATAAAACACTGCCTGCACTGATAAAGACTGCAATATGAAGTGAGAAATCACAGCATTACTGCAGTTAAATCTTTTAACATAGCTGAATTCTTTAGACACATTCCCAGTTTTTTGAGTCCAACTAATGGAGGGAGGTGTGAAAATAAAATACCACACACAGAAACACTCGCACACACCCTTTTACACTACCTACACAGTGACTGGACCAACATACACTTAGCACACGTGCTAAATCTTGCCTATTCATTCCAGTCTCCTATTATTAACTTTTTGAAAATGAAAAGTTTTGGTGGCCATTTTGTTGTAAAACCATCCACCGCCACGCTCTCTCAGATATATGATATCTGAAGTATGTCTGCTAATTGTCTGAAGCATGTTCTGTAACAATAAGGGGCACCTAATGATTTTAACCGTGCGCCACATTGTACTGTAACCGAATGGTTTATCGTTCCGTATTTTACATGCTTGAGCAGGATTTTGGATTTTGCAATGATGAGCCATTGTGACGTTGTTTAAATTTTGCACAAATTTCCATCATCGAAACTAACCCCCCCCGGCTGTTAGCACTAGCCACTTGCGATACTTGCATGTCACTTAAGGAGAACGTAGTCGCACAATGTGGGTGGTCTTGCTTTGTGTCGTGTCGTTGCACCTTGATAAGGTAGTTGTAGTGAAAACGTTGTTTCTTTTTCGTGAGCAAGCTGTCGCTGCTTCCCTGACGTTCCTTTTCCTGACAAAACACACACAATGGTACACCCTCCGACGTGTTGAATATGCCTTAGCCAGATAGGCATACAAAAAGAGATTGGTTTTGTGCAATCACATATGTCTCAGGGATGTCCTGAAGAGAAAGACGCAATGACCTAGCGTCATTGATTAGGTCTTCCAACCCATTACTGTAGAGAGTTACTGATTGCGAAGGCCAGTAAAGGGAGGAATCCGTCGAATGTATTCGATTGCTACATAAACATGTTTGCACACTAATACTGTAACACTTGAGAACATATGAGATGGTTGAAAGCTCAGGAAGGTTTGTTGCATCAAGAGAAGGTATGTTTTGCATGCCTGGATGAGCATGTAGGTGTTTAGAGCTGCTTGTTCATTACACTCGGGCCCTATGAAAACGCAAAGCCAAAATACAAAGCCAAGGATGCCATCAGCAGCAAACGTCTTCACAAAAAGATCATCTTTAGAGGAGATGCTCGTCACATGTTGGGTTTTAGACTAAACCGCATTTAGTATGTCCCAGTGTGATCCCAGTTACACAATGTGGATCCTTAAACCAACTACTCCTGAAACTTCTCACCATACCCAAGGAGTTTAGAGCTGAACCGGCAGTGTCTTCCACAAGTGAGGATAAAACATCCCAATACTGGTGTGTTTTAGGCAATATATTTAGTCAAGGAGTCCTGATCCAATCCCGAAACCTCCCCTGCTTTCCCGCTCACCAGCCTGTAGTGTATTCACAGTGATCCTTTTGTGACAAATGGTGCGTTAATGTGTATATATATGTATAATGGAATGTTGTACCGTAAACTGTCTAAACCAAATAGAAGTGTTGTACAGATCTTAACTCAACAAACGATGCAAACGTCCTGTATTTGATTTGATCCTCAAAAGGTGATCGTTGTGGGTCTTGTGTAAGACAGGATTTTACTTCAATCGGATGTGATATAGGTTGTGCAATATCTCCACTGTAAACTAAACCTAACAGGTCTGTGTTCTTTATTTGACCAGTTTTGTGACAAATGCAGTTGTTAAAACTCATCTTCAGTGTGTCCATTGATATGATTGTAAGTGGCTTGACTGGTTCACATATGTGATTATCTAGATGGTCCTCTGTGATATTGTTGTGGCTCAGGCAAACTTTCAGTGCTCTTCTATGTGGTTAGCAGTTAGGATAGATATGTATGTTAAATGATGGCTTTAATAAATGTCTAATGAATAACTGTATCACTGATGCAATCAAGTTTTGGAGGCAAATTAAATTTCAGTAATTTATTTGAATGTTGCAGTACTTATGGAACCCATGCCTGAGGTTTGTACTTCATGATTTGGTTTAAGTTTTTTGGCATATTTACATTTGTGTACTTTTTTGTATATAGCCTATTCAGAAGAATTATCTCCTTTTAAAGAAAATGTATTCAAATGGGTCATAATTTCTAAATAGGTTTGACTGTTTGATTCTCAGTGAATTTTATTGTCTGTTCATGCCTGCCAATTGTATAACGAAAGGAAGATATAACATTGAATCACAAATATATAGAATTATAGTCTTAAATTCTATTAAAATGAGAAATATTGTTAAACATTGTGTAGTATTACACAAACAGATGCAACTTTGATGTGATCTTCAATGTAGCTTAATAATGGTGTCAAATTACTATGCTAAAATGTGCACATAATCAATAAAGTCTATCAAATAAATATGCATCTCTTTTCTCTTGTTAACAGCCTCTGTTTGGAATATTAATCATAAAGCAAGTCAATGGCTACAGTGCATTACAGTGAACTGAGACTTATTGTGAGAGTCTCATTAAAGCAATATAATAAAAGACTCCAATGAGCAGCCCTATCTGATAATATTAATGACAATATCAACTTAAAAAAATCACAATAAATAATTACGCCAATCAATACCGATCTTGAGATGCACAAAATAATTAGAGAAATATATAGGCCAAAATGCATTTGTTAACATTTTTCATTTTCAGTGTATATTATTGGGTCAATATCACCATAGAGTGCCTTTCAACCCTCACAATACTCAAACATTTTGGTTTAATTTCACATTCGCTTTTTGTCCTGTCATAAACAGTAGACACTTAAGTACTATAGAAATATATTATCCCACACATTTTTTTAGATAATTATGGGCCATTATTCGAAGCATAAACCATACGATATGTCCACCCTGTCATGGACACATATATTACTGTTAAACACGTTTTCATTGCAATATTAAGATGCAAATTATATTTTCTGAAAGGTATGATGTCCCTTTCCTAAACAGGGTTATTTGTTTGCTTTCAAATTATAAATACATAAAAGAGTTTATGTAAACCATGTGTTTTTAAAGAAACTGATACAATTTGCACATGTATTTTTTCTTATTTGGGGAAAACTGTGATATTTGGATGTAGTTTTTTGTTTGCATGTTATTGCCCCCACACCCAGCTATTGAACACACTGGATTACATAGATATGATTGAATTATTATTTAATTTTTAAATATTAAATTTTATTTTAAAATATCAAGATGACAGGGTGGACCAGCACATGACGGGGTGGACACATAAAGCAGAACACACAAAGCATGACAAAATATGACAATGAAACCTTTATTCAACTTTGAAAAAAATTATATAATAAATAATAAAATTACATACTCAATCACATTGATATACCCCCCCCCTCATTTTAGTTTTTAGCAATATTAACTACAAATGAATGCTATGTCAACCCTGTCATGTGAATGTCCACCCTATTGAGTCTTAAGTGGCCGACAGTGTGGACATTTTGGAACAACGACAGGGTGGACATTTTGAGCTTCAATAAGCATATTAGCTTACAACAAACTGTGACTAGCTAAATAGTTAGTCTGGTTGTTGAAGAGAATTTGGTATATTTAAACGTACATATTTTGAAAATACTGTATTCTAATCACTTTCGGCATATTTTATGCTGACAGGGTGGACATGAATAAATAATATAATTACATTCTTAATCACATTGATATACCCCCCCCATTCATTTTAGCTTTTTAGCAATATTAACTACAAATGAATGCTATGTCCACCCTGTCCTGTGTATGTCCAGCCTATCGAGTCTAAGTGGCCGACAGGATGGACATTTAGGAACAACGACAGGGTGGACATTTTGAGCTTCAATTAGCATATTAGCTTACAACAAACTGTGACTAGCTAAATAGTTAGTCTGGTTGTTGAAGAGAATTTGGTATATTTAAACCTACGTATTTTGAAAATACTGTATTCTAATCACTTCCAGCATATTTTATGCCGACAGGGTGGACATGTTAAGCTTTGTCAAAGCAAGTAAGCAAACTCGTACGAAAAAAATTTGTCAGTTGAAAAGTCACTAAATTATTCACCTCAGCCATTGAAATTCCCACCACTTAAGAGACAAAAATTCTGTTGTCCTAATGTCACTAAAGGGGATGGCCTTTTCTTAAAGGGGCAGATTCCCCAATATGACAGGGTGGACAACCATTCAAGGGACATGGACAAACTCTTCTTTTTTATTAAATAAAAATATATTTTTTTTATTACCAAATGATCAATACACTCAAATTGAGTAAAAAAATGTTTAAACAAAATATTATTAGGAGAATTTTATGATTTGACTATATTCTACTCTCATTCAAATTTAATGAGCAGTGCATGGGACATAGCAAAATAACATGCATCCTCTTATACAAAACTAAAAAAAACTCTAGAAAAAATGTAAAATGGAAAATGTATCTAAAGAGTCAAGTAATGCTTTTGTTATGAATATAAAAACGTAGCCTAATATAACACCCTTTCATAGTAATTTTTTATGTTAAGTTATCATAGCAACTGAGTTATTTATGTACAGGACAGCAAAAGGCACCCTACAGTGATATTGACCCTATAGTCAAACAGCCCAATGCCTATTGAAGTTAGCTAAAGATATTTCAGTATTTCGCCTGCCCATCCAGAACTTCATTGACATGGAAATAATGCAGTGAGTTGATTCAGTAGCTTGTCTGAATGATTCGGTGAGTTGAAACGGTCCTGCGTTTTTTGTTTTCATATTTATGACACGGCATGAACACACCACAATTCTCACACTTTGCAACAACATCATTTACCCTCTTACCCCTTGTGAACAGCTGCATTTGGCTAGTCTACCTGCAAGCTGTTTATGGTTGTCAAGCTACGTAAAAACATATGGCACAACTAATAGTTCACCCACAAATTAAAATTGTCAACATTTACTCACCCTCATTGTTTCTTTCATGACTTTCTGATTTCTAAATTCAATTTTTAGAGAATTCCCTGGTCGCTCTTTTCCATGTAATGAAAGACCAAAATGACCAAAAGGCACACCGAAAATTATCCTAGGCCTTCAAAACACTTTAGTGCACGAGTTACATGCCCTTCTTCTATACAGTGATGTCTGTCATATTGTTGCACATTGGACGCTTTGCAGTTGATATAAATGTTGCCGCTGGAGTCAAGCAGCAAGCGTTCACAGCTGATTCAGAAGCAGCGTCGGTGTT